CACGACACTCTTGCTTGACACTCTTTCTTGACACTCTTTGCTAGACAGTCTTTATTGACACTTTCTCTTGACACTCTTGCTGGACACTCTTGCTTGACACTCTGTCATCTCCGAAAACAAGAACGCTTTGAGTTCTACGCTTCTATACAAAGTGACTGCATTCGGGTTCGTGGGTTCTATCAGTTTTTTTTGGTGTATGTCCTTTGAAACGGGAAGCGACACACACACACACAGAGCCGTGGTCCGGCGCTCTGAAGGGTTTCCGTGGAAAAACGAAATGTGGATGGTCCAGGCTCCCGAGCACCTAAATAGCCACCTAACAAGCCTTAGGAAGGGAAAGAAAGACAGAAAGAGAACGAGGAAGAAGGCAAGAAGGAAAGATAGGTGTAGAGGACCACACATCTCTGTCCGGAAACCGACAAGCTCAATGCGCCGCTTTAATAGCCACCTAACAAGCCTTAGAGAGAAAGGAAAGAAAGACAGAAAGAGAAACCGAAGAGGGCAAGAGAGAAAGGTAGGTGTAGTGACGAGGCCCACTAGTTATGAAACCTTCTAGTTACTGATTATAGTTAGCGAGCGGGACTGTGGTCTTAGACCACACGGGTGGGTAGGACTAGGACAGGAGATACAGAAGGAAAGGCACCAACACACAAGTGTGTTGAGTGCGATTTCCTTCTGTTACCCTAGATAGCAGGTGGGATAGCAACGGATTAGGTGCAAGGAGGTAGGGGGAGGGTGGGTTGGGGTGGCCCGAAGGCATTGCCGTCACCGGCGCTCAAGCAAAGCCGTAACCGGCGCTCCCTTGACTGAAAGGCACCTGGAACCTAAAGAAAGGCCTCAAGAAAACGAAAAGCAACAGCAGGAAAAAAAAAACGGACGAAAAGAGGAAACCCAGTCACGTTTTTCATTTTCTGATGTCACGTTTCGCTGTATACGGCGCTCCCTTGACTAAAGCTTCACCTGATACCTAAAGGCCTCACGTTTCTCACTCCCTTCACGTCACTCACTTCCCTCACGTCACGGTCGGCCATACTCTCACATGCGCAGGTAAGTCAGTGGGCCCTGCGGCATTCAATCCCGGTAAACCCTGCGGCGCTCAACCTACAATCTCGTGCAGTTCCGTAAGCCGGTGGGGTTGCAACTGAAGTTCACGGGAAGGAAAGGCGCAATCAGAAGGGATCCCCCAACAAAGTGGGTTTATGCACATGCTGAGCCCTTCGATGGGGATCACACCACAGCCTGCAGTGGGACTCTGTGGCAGCACACACTTAGCTTGGGGCTCGCAAGAGTTGAGTTCGTGGTTGAAGTCCCACTTTAGTGAATACGACACCAGCTGCAAACTACAAACGGAAAGGTGGAGGAGGTCCGCTTCAACTGTATTGTTTAACAAGGGTGAGACGGAGAAAGTTGAAGAAATGCAGGTACGTGAGTCAGGCGTCCCTGACTCATGTCACAGGAAGTCCTTGGTGTCTTCGTTGGATGCCGACCATGGAGATCCCGGCATCCCCCTGCCTTTAAATTGTTTTTTGTGTATGTCCTTTGAAACAGGAAGCGACACACGCTTATGGATATGCGTACTGACTGACAGCGGTGCCACACGCCGGCCTAGGGTACCATTTCCTAAGAGTACATGTACGAATCCCTGGATCCTGGAGGTCTTCAAAAGGAAACGTGGCCCAAAGCGTAAGCCGGAAGCGAATCGACAGGGTGACGACGTATCGTGCACATCTGCTGAGTGAGTAGCGGAAGGCTTAAAAGTTGAAAGGCAGTGGAAATTGCAGGTACGTGAGAGTGATCAGCTCTCATATCCCGTGCGTCAGGTAGCTTCGTTGGACATGGTCCCTGAACGCACGCCATGTCCCCCAAAAAACCGTGTTTCGTGAAACACTTGAAGATTTGTGCGTTTCAACCCTTCACACTTCAAGATTTGTGCGTGTCGTTCCTTCAAAATTCAAACGAATCCCTGTGACTACAAGGGGCACACACACAGACATCTGAGCCAAAATCACCACATCAGGGTTGACCCCCAAGCTCACTGACCGCCAGAGTTCAAAACCATGTTGGCCTTGGATGCTCCGGGCGATTTTCAACGCACTCAGAGCGTTTTGAACCCATGAAGTCCCATGCCTGACACTTTTACAGATAAGAAATGGTTATCAACTATTTCAAGGTCCGATTTTAGCGGGGTTTTGGACTCACATGTTGTTGTTGTTGTCGTCGTTGCTGTTGCTGCAGCTGTGCATCCTGCTGCGTCAGAACGTCCTGGATCTGCTGCAGCAAGCCAAGCGTTTGGTTCGAAGGTGCGGGCCCTGGCTCACGCACTTCAGTCAAAAGCGGGGGAAAATAAGGTTTGGTTTCTAAAATGTTTTCTGTTGTTAGAAGGCTGATGGTCTGGGTGTCATGGCCCGGCGCGCGAGGAAAGAGTTGACGCTATTGATGTTTATGAGGTGAAATTCAGCGCTGTGCAGTGTTTGATTATTGTAAACGATTTGCAGATTGATTTTTTGGGTCATGATCCCAAAGAACTTGGCTTCCAACACGAATGCTGGCCCCAACAGCCATGTCAGGGAGAACGTGTTCTCCTTTGTGTGGCGCACGAAAACGTGTGACCATTTGAAAAGACCCGGTTGTGCAGGCCACCAAGCAGGAAGATATTGTGAGATTTGTTGTGTGTCCGCATTGCAAAACGGAATCCAGATTGGGGGGTTCATTATCTTTCTGAGACGACTGGCAAAAGCAGGGAGGAGAGGAACCGTGTTATGAACGCATAGGCGCATCCATCTTGAAAGGTTAAACTTAATCAGACCAGCGGGGCCTTTGATTGCAATGCTGACTTGTGGCTACAGAGATTAGATAGCCGGAGGGTGTGCCAAAGACTGCGCGCACTTGTGGGAGGAGCTAGCCTCAGCTGTGTTTGATGCGTTTGTTGGATTGTCGGTGCCTTCGTATTTTGCTGTAGGATGGGTGCATCAACTTCGCTGCCTTGCTGAACCCTTGGGCGCATTGGAACATGAAATGGCGCAGAGGCAAGGGCTTCCAACATGCAGCCATTTTCGGATTGCAACAAGGTGACTGCTCCCGCGGCGTGGCCCGCATGCTCAACAGAGGCCACTTGAGCGGAGTTTCTCGCAGCGGAAATCATGACGCTCCAGGTGGATCCTCAAAAGCCGCTTGTGCTCTTCGGATAGTGCTCCAAGGTCTTACGTGTAGTTCTCCAAATGGTTTATGGTTTTTGAAGTGAAATGACGAATCACGCCGTGAATGATCGGCCATTCCCTTTTCCACGCGGGCCTTGTCCAGGTTTTGTTGCCTTGCTTTGCCCTACGTTGTTTTTCCTTGTCTCCGCCTTGCTTCGGGCCTTGTCCACTAGATGGGCCGCGTTTCTGATCTGAAATCCGACAACTTGAAACTTAAGTTTGGGGTGTATGCTGGTGCCAATATTTTAGAAGTGTGTCAGCCGAGCAAACAGGTACAGATCACGGATGTCTATGTTTTGGACAATTTTCCTAGTTTGCGTACCCTCATCCAGGCCGGGGCCTTTCGATGTAAGAATGTTTGATTCGTTAAAGTGTCAGGAGAAAGCTCTTGAGTTGGAGCGGAGATGTGGCGGACAAACCATAAGTATTGCACTCTGAGACAGTGGCGAATGGAACTTTGGGAAGGAACATGGGTCATTCACCGAGGCATGCTCACAGGGGATTTCTTGGCGCCATGTTTGCTATCTTCTATTGACATGGGCGTCGGCATGATGAAAATGCTCGCTCCCCAGTTGCCAGCCACGGCACGACAGATTTCGCCCTGTCCTTAGGCTCAATGGCACCCCCATCGATTTTTTGACATGGGGGAACCACGAGGATGTGACAACACAAATTCAGATTCATTGGCATTTGGTGTCGTTGCAGCTGAACATTTTTGCAGGACGATATTCCTCACAAGGAAGTTCTGAAAAGAGAACGAGAGTACACGGGAGTGTGGATCAACACAAACATGAAGCCCAGAACCCAGTCTTTGAGTTTTGAATTGTGTTGATGAATGATTCAGAGGCCCTGTCCCCGTGCGATGGTTAACTTCTCACCAGCTGTGCCCACCTATTGAATGGCTAGACGGATAATGAGCTGCGGACAGCCAGATGATCGCAAATGCCTGAACATGCATTTTGCAACATCCATCCATCCTTGGATTTTCTTGGGGTTCGTGCAGTTTCTCCTTGTTTATGGTTGAAGGGGGATGCATTGGTTTTTAAGTAGTACTGTACCCCGTTGCACAGATGAGATAGCGTTAAGCTGGCCGTTGCGGTTTAAGCATTGTATTGTTGATTCTTTTGAGCAAGAATTGCGCACTGACACACTTTTGCAACCGATTGCCCGAGTTTTTGTTTACCGCGCTGGCCTCAAGTTGTATCAGGGAAAACATGGTAAGTTCTATATGATTAGCAGTGTTTTGGAAGTCGTTTTGACGGCTTTTTCGACGGCAAATTGACGCAACAAAATAGAAGCACCAGGGTCCAATCACCTGAGTTGGTTGCTGGAAGTGTGCCGTGGAGATATGAGAAATGAATGCCGAAGGGTTAAAACCGTAGGAGGGGGCAGTCGAAGAGGAGAGAGAGAGAGAGAGGGTGGGTAGTCGAAAAGGGAATTTCAGCGTGGCACTGCCGAGTTCTGCTGCGAAGCGTCGCAAAAGCATTTGCCAGAGCATCGCAGGGACATTGTAGTGTATGAGACCTATCAGTGGTACGAGGTTGGAGGTCATCGCCAGTAGGTTGGAGGTCATCGCTATTAGGTCCGAGGCTATTTTGGGGAGCGACGTAGGTGTCAAGTCCATATCTTGCTGCCCTGCTGCAGTGGACCAGTTGAACGGTTTTCTCCACTGTCGGGCCCACGAACGAATCCTGTTGACCTACGCTAGTAGCCTAGGCTTGTCGCCCTTTTTTTGGGGGACAAAGGGTTTAAGTCTGAGGGATGTTAAGTCTATTGGGAAGTTTGTGCTGGAACAGATCGTTTGTCTGTGATAAAAGCGTGGGAGCATGTAAGCATTGGGGTTTCCGCTTGCCAGCACAAAAGCCAGTTCTGCAAGCAAAGGCCACAGTGCAAGTGTTTGTGTCCACACAAGGGTCAAAATGCACAGATCATGTTGGCCTCAGCCCGAGCGCAAGCCCAATAGAAACCCTTTCACTCCGCGCTTTGAACAATCGCTTCGCCTGTGCTGCACTCATCACTCATCCCCATGAACAATTACAGAGACTTCTGACGTTTTTCCTTTGAGACGAACAAACGCAGCGCCAATGTGACGCAACCGTGGCAGTGCTTTGAAACTCTTCCAACTGCAGTTCTCACGCAAGAACTTCAAATGCGACCGCGATGAAAGTACCGGGAAACGACAAGAGCACCTGTGACCATCCATTTGTGACCTTTGACAGGGCCTCAATCCAGCACACGCCTCCACAAGGCCCCTTTCCGTAAAGAGGCCTCACACACACACACTGCACACACACACACACACCATATGATTGACCGTCCCGAACCTGTGGCCAAACCTGTCCACTCCTCACCCTCGAACAAGGCCCTTCGCATGGCGTCCCACTTTTGTTCGAATTCGTTCTACAGTTTTTTTGCAGGAACCTTTGTATAATGTACTTTATTTTTCTTGAGCACTGCACGCCGAGTCATTGAGGTCACACGAGTCCTTTGCGAAGTCTACATGTCAGGTTGAAGAAGAAGTGCTGCAAGTCGTGTCGGGTGCCCAGTCACACCTCACACAAGGACTCGCATTTGTGAATGTCACCAACAAGAGAGGAAAAGAAAAGACAAGAAGAAGGTTTTGTCCTCGTTTTAACTTTCGGGGGGCCTGATTAAAGGGGCCCTTACTGCACTTTAGTCAATGCAATTTGGTTTGCAATGCGAAGTCATGGCAATGTTTCTACGTCGCTGGCTGTCTGGACTCGTGCGGCGCCAGTTCACTCCTTTTGCTTGAGCCGGACGGCTGTGAGGGGCTAGTAGTGGCTAGAAGCAGTCAAGTTGAGACAAACCTCAAGCAGCCAACTCCGAGCCTGGAAAGTTGACGAAGCGGAAAGCAGACAGCTAAGTGACTATTTCCAGAACATAAACTCTGAACCCTCCGTCCTGCCAAAACCTGGCAGCAATTCCCCAATCCGGGAAACTGGAGGTCGAGTTCTTGTTGAGTGAGGCTTGAAATATTACGAACAGTTTGACTAAAGCTTCACTGCTCGACCTCCTGCTCGAGCAGTTCGCTGCCAGATCAAGCTGTCTTGGGAAAAGCCCTTGTGCTCAACTTTTAGCTAAGTCTGTGCTTCGGAGGAGGCTGCACATGCCCGAGCTCTGGTTGTAGAAGCGCTCGAAGTTCTAAAGGGTCGTAGACCTACTTGACTGGGCCCGAACAGCCACGAGGGAACAGAATGAACTGGACATGTGACATGTACATGCATGTACTGCATGCTGTCACAGTATTCAGTTGAGTGGAAGCTCAATTATCCCGGCAAGAGACCCCAAACAGTGCAGAGTGTATATCAAACGCACTTTCGGGTACTGTAAAGGGTTGCGCGCAGGGGGGTCGGAAGCAGAGAGAAGAGCACCCGCGAGCACGAAGTAGTAGGAAGTAGCAGGTGAGGCTTGAACCCAGATAGAGTAGTAGGAGGTGGTAGAAGGGTATGCCTGACCCCGGAGGGAGTAGTAGGAGGAGGTGAAGCACCCGCGAGCACCAAGGGGGACGAAGTAAAAGTTCAGGTCCGAAATGTCAAAATACAGCACACAGCAAGCGCACATTTTTCCGGGCATGGTGTGATTGTGAGCGTAAGTGAGAGTGAGAGTGGGAGTGAGAGTGTGAGTGTGAGTGGGTGTGGAGAGTGACTGAGTGTGAGTGTGAGTGCGAGTGAGGGTGAGTGTGGGTGAGTGTGAGTGAGAGGGAGAGTGAGAGTGAGCGTGAGTGAGAGTGAGGGTTTGAGAGCACAAAGTGCTGCGCCCTTGAAAAAAGCTGCGTCACAAAGCGCTGTGCCTGCCACGACATCTGCACTTCGAGGTTCACAAAGTGCTGTGCCTGCAACGAAATCTGCACTTCGAGGTTCACCAAGTGCGGTGCCTGTCACGAAAAGTCGACTTTGGAGCACCAAAGCACGAGGTTTCACTTTCGCCTGCCACGCAAAGTGACCACCATGTGCGAAAATGCGCGCGGCACCACAACGAGAGCGCAGTCGCGACAAGCACTCGCCGCGGGCACCCAGATTTCGCGAGCCTGCGCAGTCGAAATGCATGTCGACGATTTCGAGAGGCATGACTGTACTGTAAATAGCAGCGAAGTAGCCGCGCACGCCCGCGCGCTTCAGCGATCTAAGCATCAGCTGCTTTACACCAACCGTAAGAACCCCTAAGTGTGTCCACACTGTTTGGGGGAAAATGGCTCTAGAGCTCGAAATGGGAAAAAAGGGTGATTTGGGTTCCTTTCTGTCATGCTCTTCACAGCCGGTCTTCACAGGTGCTCACGGTTCTTTTGAATGGTTACAGCTTCAACTGAGATTGCCGTTTGCTCTCCATTCGCGAACCATCTGCGCTGTCGGTTTTTTGGTTTTCACTGACTGATGTCGGGTCACGTTGGCTCTCAACCAACTTGGTTTGTTTCTGAATCTCAACGATCAACATGAAGAGGGCATTGAGAGAGCGATTCCGCTGCTTCACCTGTTCCTCCAAGATTGTTTCAGTGACTGGCAGCAAATTCAGCCGCAAATGCTCACGACGACGAGCAGCTGAATTGGCGTGGAAGTGGCATGAAACCATTCGGTTGAGATGAACAGGCATGTGGTGCAGCTCTTGAATTCAATTTCTTCCATCAAGACCTCCTCATACGAGCTTCCACTTTTTTTTAAAAGCTCTTCATCCTTACATGCGTCCGTACAATTTTCATCTTGCTCAATGTTTTCACCATCAGAGCACTGACAGAGTGCTGTCGAGCAAGGCTTTTTGCGTCCGTGGTGATGGGCGATTCCTCAAACATGTGCATTGTTTTGTCCTTCTGAATGGGCACGAAAGCATTCACCATTGCAGCATAAAACACCATTGCCTATTCCTGCTCATCAACAGCAATGGTTGCCGACTGTGCTCCGGCTGACAGAGAACTTCGACGCATGCCAACCAACGTCATTCTTGCCCAACCAACAGCCGTCAATCCAAACATTGTGTCGTTGCCCAGCTCACTTTGATTTGCTATGAACATCATCAGCATGCTCCCCGCTTCACACTCACTGTGCCTTGCCAAGCCTGAATCCAACCCCGAGGCAGCGCACTCATGTTGTGGTGTAAATGGAAGCTGTGCTGCCTCTAGTTCACCACGCTCGACGCTCCTGGCGCGGTCCGAGCACGGATCGGCGTCCTTGGTGGACTTCCTTTGTCCACACCGGAATGAAATGGAATAGCCCTCCAACCTAGCGATGGCCTCCACCCTAGTAGCAATGGTGCGCACTAGAATTACATGGACAAGTGGTGCGTACTGCATGCTGTGACAATTGCATTCAGACGAATCGCAGTCAAACTAAGTGTCTCCAGTAAGCTTAGTGCTAAATATGTGTACGCAGCGGCTCACAAAGGTGAACCCTTCACAGGGAGGAAGTAGCCCGTGGTCAGCTAGTTACTAGAGTCGTTTGAGTGCAGGCAATTTTAATGCATACAATGCAACCAAGTAACTTGGTTCAACGGGAATGGCCAAGATATGTGTACCTGCGTGGCATGATGGAACCTATCAAGATCCACTGGCCCGAAAAATGACCCAGAGAAACTCAAATGCAAAAACCCTTTCATTTTGTTCGCAAATGATTGTAACTGGGCTCAAGTGACATTATAAAAAGCGCAGCGATGCTGGCATTTGCTTTGTTGTCTTGCCTTGATTTCTTTTTGGAGCCTTTGGGGTTGAACCTAGGTGATTGAAGTGCCATGCCAACCCGTGACTCAGGTCATTTGATGGCAGCAACATGCGCAAGATAGGTCTCATTGGTGTGCTGAGCAACTCGTTGCAACCTCAGCCGCTCAAAGTGCTACACTCACGTATATAACCTGATCACAAAGAGAGACACGCTCGAGATAAGAATGTATCTAATGGAGGTTCCAGACTGTGAGCGAGACAAATGAATCGCTCCCTCTGTGCGCGAGACAAGTGAACCGCTCTAGCAGAGGTAGTTCCAAACTGCGAGCGGGACAAATTACAATTATATATAGTTCCAAAGTGCGAGTGAGACGGATGAATCGCTCTTAGTAGGTAGGTAGGTAGGGACGGCAAAAATGTAAAACCTCCTGTTGTAGGATAGGTAAACTAGGCAAAACGATGGAAGGCCCCCGGTTCTAAGTAGCAAGACGACGGAAGCTCTCATTGCGGTAAGTGAAAATGAAAAGAGAACCTTCAAACAAGTCTGCCAACGAACTCTGCTTCCAGACTTCCAGTTTACGGCCGAGACATAAGAACCGCTCTAGTTTAAAAAGCGGGTACGCAAAGGCCCCCGGCAACTCCCTGGGGCACGCACGCGTGCCAGAAGCATGCATACATACATACAGTACAGTACAGGACAGGACAGGACAGTACGTACATACAGGCATACATACATACAACCGTACGTACGTACGTACCAACAAACAAACAAACAAACAAACATACATACATACATACATACATACATGGCTCAAGCCGTGAAGCTGCTCAAGCCTGCAGCCAACCAAGACAGGCTAGTGTGGACGCCCCATTCGAACATAGTTCGGGACTTTGAGGACAAGCAAGGCCCATCGCGAAGTTCAATTAGAAGACATTCTTTGCTCACAATTCCCGACCTCACCTTGCACACCCCTGCTGAGCTCTACGGTGACCGGCAGTTTCTCGCCTGGCTACATCCTCGTGATTTCCCGGGTGATTGGCCCTTGTCACTGAGGAGACCACAGGCCTGATCACGTTCGGTGCCACCCAGTCTGCCCACCTGTTTGCCTATCACTAGGCCACATAGCAGATCTCTATCAGGCACTATGACATCTCAATGGGGTCGAGCCTACATGACCTGTTCAAAGCATGGCTGCAACAACTGGATTTGGACCGATCGAGTGAAGACAGGCACCAAATGCCGCAGATGCGGCACATGGTGGCCCAATCCAGCAGCTGGTGCAGGGAAAGGCAAAGGGTATGGACGACCTGCCTCCAGGACCACACCCAACCAGCAATGGTTGGACACTCCACCAGGCCTTACGAAGTTCAGACCCCTCAAGAAAACCAAGATGCAACAAGAGGCCACAGACCTGCTCACTAACAGCTGGTCAGTCCTCCCAGAGGACACCCAAGCCAAGCTTCAGGCTCTTGGCATTGGCCCGAGCAAACCCGAGGAACCCGAGTTGACAGACATCCTGAAGACCCACATGGATGCGCTACCACCACAAGTCCAACAGATCGTCGCCAAGCTCACGGCTCCAGAACCCTGCGCAGAACGTGAGATTGCCACAAAGCTCAAAGGACAAGTGACGGAGTTGAAAGCTATGTCCATCCGCAAGAACCAGTTGCAGGAGAAAATTGATGGCGTTAAGGCCCAATATGCATCACTGCTTACTGACATGCAAGACCTCCAGAGCAAACTGGCTGATGGTCAAAAGGCTTTGCATCAGCTCTCACAAGACTACATGAAGGCCATCAACCAGACTCCAGCACCAGCTGAACTGGCAACAGGCTCAGGGGAACCTGAGCAAATCCCCATGGCCGTCGAATCCTTTGTACACAGTCTGGGCATCTCGCTCACAGAAGAGCAGAAGAGCCAGTTGCATGGCCTCCTCAAGCGGCCAAACCTGGACCCAGATGATCCCACGAAGCGCAGGAAAACAGATGGCATTGCTGCACCACCACCAGGACATTGTGGGTAACAGGGACAGCACAGCCATGATGAAGGGGTGGACTTTTCCGTTACAGGAAGATGACACATGGTCATGTGATGGAACAGAAGAGTCAAACAGGGGAACACCGTTCGAAATGGACACCAGTTTTGAGGAAGAGCCATGGTTTCTAATGCACCACCACAAACGAGGTGCCTAACCTATGACGGCTCCACAGGGAAAGCCACCATTGTCACCTGTGAAGGGGACATTTCACAAACGACAACTGGTACACAGCAGTTTTGGGGCTCACTACAAACCGGATGGGATTGCCGTGCTGCCTCAGGCTCAGAAGCTGATACGCATCACTCTGATAGGACCAGTGTTGGGGCAAAAACACAGGCCTTTCAGGACGAGCACTCACCCAATGGCAGTGGGCCAAACAACATGGGGACAAGACAAGTTGCAGGGAACAGCAACACCACAACGGGACATGTCAACAACACAGGACATTTCCGTTTTCTGAGCACCGCCCGAGCGCCCTCGACGCCCCACATGGGCAACGACTGAAGCTCACTGGAGGGGCGCCGGATCATCCAAGCTCCTCTGTCGATAGTGACTGGACTCGACCCAGCATGAGCTCACACTACTATGCCTCCACCACTGACTTGCTCCTCCAGAACTTGAGCATGGTGGTGGGAAATCCCAGCGCTAGATGTTTTGCAAATGCCCCGTGGAGGGCTTTCTGCTGGATGTGCGCCTATCTAGCGGAGTTCAACCGAGACCCATGGGGAGTCATCAAAGATGCAGTCCAAACACCTTTGGAACTCTCTGAACCAGTAGATATCCAACGACTACCTGGACTGCACCACTTATGGCAGAAACACAACCTCAACATGGAGGGAGATGCTGCACACTTTGTCCATTCGCTTTTTATTCTCACAAACCAGAGTGATGCAGTACCGCCACACCGAGATCAAAGAAGGCGGGTATGTCACGGAACACATCCAACTGCCCCTCATCGTGGACTACCCAGATGAGTACCTCGATGAGATCACATGGCAAGAGCTGATGAACTGTTGGGCCAACCAAGGCCTAGGGCAGTATCTCAGTGACGACAAGATGGTCCAGGTCAGCCACATCAATCGAAGGCAAAGCACAAGAGCCAGTGCCGAATACATTCCCATGGCATACATTTGCCATCGAGGCCCAACCCATGAAACCGGGCATTACTACACCATTCTGGTGTATAAAGACCTGATGTGGATTGCGGACGATGGAGCCACACCCAAGGTCCTGCCATTCCTGACACCACAAATTGCGGGCCAGATTGTGCAGGTCTGGGGCATCCAGACCTCAGCCCTGATCACACCGCGTCAAATCGCACGGGCACTACCACCACCGGAGAGCCCAGACTACGATCCACCACTCCACGGCACACCGCCCAAAAAAGCCAGATTCACACAGGAACACATGAGGTTGAACGTGGGCAACCTCACGGCCTTTGGGAAGAGTACTCTGGACTGGTACTGGACGAGAGACAATGAGATCTATGTGATGGTGGAAATGCACCTGGACCAGCAAAAACACCAGTCGATGTGCCAATACTTTGAAGTCCGTGGAAGGCACGCCTTTGGCTATCCAGCACATGCCAACAGCACCAATGATGGCACCCATGGAGGCATCCTGATCATCTATGACACCGCCCATGGACTGACCAGGCTTGATTCCTTTGAGGTACCAGGCCTTTCTGTGGGAAGCAAAAGCCAGAGCCATACTGGTGGTGGCTGTCTACTTCAAAACCAATGAAACGATTCAGGGCAACACCAACTCACAGATCCTAGCACGCATTCTGGCACTCATCCAAGCCACGACAAGGCCATTCATCCTGGTGGGGGACTGGAACAATCATCCAGAGCATTTCCAATGCACCGTGCTCAGTTCCAAGTTCCACTGGCAAATCCTCGCCCCCAATGCCACCATGCTCAATGGAAACACGGTGGACTATGCCATCATGCACCAGACACTGGCCGCCTGGGCGGTACCCTGGCGACCCCACTGCCTGGTCACATATGCCTTGGAGTTGGAGGATGACTTCCGGCTGTACCACCAGCTCAGGACATTTCCACCATTGCCCAACATACCTGACATTGGGTTTCGAGCATGGAGCACCTACGTCACCCAGGTCGAAGACCTCCTCTTGTACGAGAGCCAAAGTGCAAGGGGTCTTGCTGATTGGGTTTCGGTCACTGAGCAGTACCTACTCCAACAGCACCCGTGGGCACCACAAGGACGAGCATCCAATTTGACCACACAGCACCAGCCCTTGGTTCCGGCGAAAGCAGGTGGCATGTGGAAAAAGGCAAAGCAGCATACTGGGAACAAATCCAGGCCAGCTCAACCTCATCCAAAACCAACCAGCCAAAGCCCCAGGAGCTATCAAAGGGCTCAACAAGGCACTCCAGCAGGTACAGCACCACTGGCTGGGAGATCAGACCTGGGCACAGTTCCTGGACACCCAGCAGCACTGGCAGCAATATCGCGATGACCGCACTTTCGAGTTGATGCAACAAACCGTCCAACATCAGCTTGAGGAAGCGCAACAACAAAGTCGAGAAGAGTCCTGCCTCCAATATGCAGAGTGGATACGGCAAGGTGAAACCAAGGGCCTCAAGGGACTCTTCCGATCCCTGCTGAACTTTCATGGCAGCGACCCTACCGCGATATCCCTATGGCTGATCGCATGAGACACAGGATGAATGCATGGCATGCTCTATGGAAACCTACCCGGGACGACCAGCCAATGACACGACTACCCTTGCAAGAAGAAGCCAAGCAGCAGGCAGCCCAACTACCTCCACTCACCTACGAGCAATTTAGCAAAACTTTGAAGAAACTCCCAGACAAGGCCTGTGGGCCGGATGCCATCACAACTCAGCTGCTCAGAACAGCACCCAAGCAGGCCCTACAACCACTACTGGGCATTCTCCAAGCAATGGAGGCAAAAGCCGAACTCCCCACCCAGCTCACTATGAGCCTGGTCGTTATGCTAGCCAAAAACGAGAAGGCCGAAAGACCAATCGCGCTGACCAGTGTGTTCTACAGAGTATGGTGTCGGATGAGGAAACCACTCCTGGATGCCTGGCAGCAATCCCTTCCTCCATCCAGGAGCCA